GCCACCCGGGGGAGCTGGCGGGCCGTCCACGGGCGGCGGGATCCGGGCTCACCCCGGGGAGCGGGCAAATGTTACAACTTGTCACCCATCTGATTGTAGAAGCTCTTTCCTATATGTCCGCAAAAGGACCTCGCACTTTTTCTTTGAAATCAAGGTGTAATTACATACAGTAAAATGGACACAGTTTGGTGGGTCTTGACACACAAACACATGTGTAACCAACACCCCCATCCATCACAGAGCGCTCCCATCACCCGGCCCGGTGCGGTCCGGTAGAACTTTCCACAGGGACCGGAAGGTCCCATTTCTAACCAACCACCTTGGTAGCCACAGCCACGTTGGTTGGTGGGACTGAGAAACCAAACCTCTCTCTTCATTTGTGGTTTCACTTAATTTAAGTGTCACAGGTGCGTGCGGTGAGTGGGAGGCGTGAGGGGCAATGTTCCCTCAGGCGCCTTCCACTTGGGCTGGTTCTCCAACCTGAACTCAGGAGGACCCCGCGCCCTGGTTTCTGCCCCCATCTGCGACTGCGCCAGCCCCCGTCAGCAGCGCACTGCGCTCCGTTTCTGGCCGGGGCGGGGGAAACAGTAGCTGTCCACCCTTGCTTCTGTGGGTGCGGACTTGGCTGGCTCTAGGCTGGTGCCAGTGTTGCAAATGTCCCCGGGGTTTTGGGCCGCTGCTGTGCCCCATCTGGCCAGGGTCACTCCCTCCTCTGAGCACCCTCCCCCCAGCTGACCGGTCTCCTCCTCCCCAGGTCCCTGGCCGTCGGGCCCCAGTACTCATCCCTGGGCACTCAGCCCATCCTGTGTGCCAGCATCCCCGGCCTGGTCCCCAAGCAGCTGCGCTTCTGCCGAAACTACGTGGAGATCATGCCCAGTGTGGCGGAGGGCGTCAAGATCAGCATCCAGGAGTGCCAGCATCAGTTCCGCGGGCGCCGCTGGAACTGTACCACCGTGAACAACAGCCTGGCCATCTTCGGCCCCGTGCTGGACAAAGGTACGTGGGGCGCCCTTCACGGCCTTCGGGTGGAGGCGGCAAGCCAGGCGGTTGGTGCCACAGGTCCAAGCAGCCCTCTTCATGGGCAGGAGCCGCTCTGTCTTGATCCGCCTCAGTGTCTCCCCTGTGCTCCTCCTGGGAACGGCATCTCCAGCAGGTTGACCTGCTGTGCACACCTCATTCTCTGCGCATCTCCCATGCTCACCTGTTCTGGGGGTTTCCTGGAGCTTGGAGTGAGGTAGTTTCACGCAGAGATTCCTCCTGTTTCCCCTTCCCCAAGGACAAGGCTTCCCACAGGAACCAGGCCTTCAGGGGGGTCTTGGAGAGAAAACACAATCTTTTTTTTTTTAATGGGGGTAGGGGGAGGGACAACAGAGGCACACTTCAGGAGTTATCCAGTGTGCCAAGGCCAGGGAGTTATTTTAGGAAGAGGTAAAAGACAAAGGTTGGGTATCGGTTAACTTTTGGTGAAGAGCAAATTTTCACCAAAGATAGTGGTTTGCACAGTAATAACCATGTGATGAGCGTCCCAACATCTGCCAATCAGAGGGCAGCCGGTGCTGCACTCGGCAGGAGCACCTGAAAGTGGCCTCTGCAATATGGTGGCTGGGGAGGGAGAAAGGCTCCTTTCACTCAGCATGATGTTTTCAGGATCGGTCCACCTGCCCCATGGGTCAGCACTTCCTTCCTTCCCATGGATGAATAGTATTCCACTGTGTGGATCGCTGCATTTTATTATGCATTCATCGTTGATGGTCATTTGGGTTATTTCCACCTTGTGGCTATTGTGAACAGAGCTGCTATGGACATTTTTGTACAAGTATCTGTTGGAATACCGGTTTTCAAATCTTTGGGATATATTCCTAGGAGTGGAGTTGTTCTGTATAAGACTTGGAGGAAACACCACACTGTTTTCCACAGGGGCTGCACCATCTTACGTTCCCGTGAGCAGTGCGCGAGGGTTCCAGTTTCTCCCCATCCTCACCACCACGTTATTTCTGCCTCGTTCCTTATCCAGCCCAGTGGGTGCGAAGGGTTATCACATTATGGTTTTTATTTGTGTCTCTCTGATGGCTGATGATGTTGAGCATCTTTTCATGGGCTTGTTGTTCATCTGTATGTCTTCTTTGGAGGAGTGTCTATTCAAATTCTTTGCCCAATTTTTAAAAAGATTTCTTTACTTATTTGAGAGAGAGCACACATGGAGGGGAGAGGCAGAGGGAGAGAAAGAATCTCAAGCGCTGAGCACAGAGCCGAACTTGGGCTTGATCCCACGACCCTGAGATCATGTCCTGAGCCAAAACCAAGAGTCGGATGCCCAGTTTACTGTGCTACCCAGGCGCCCCTGCCCAGTTTTTTAATTGGGGTGCTTGCTTGTCTTTTTGTTGTTGAGTTGTCCGAGCTCTTTATATATTCTAGACACTGAATTTTTATCAGATCCATGATCTGCAAATAAGTTCTCCCATTGTATAGGTGGTCTTTTCATTGTTGTGACAGTGTCCTGGAATGCACAAAAGTTTTAAATTTTGGTGAAGTCCAATTTATATATTGAAATGTCCTATCAAAGTAAGCATTGCCTAATCTAAGGTTACAAAGACTTACACTTACGTTTTCTTCTAAGAGTTTTATAGCTTGATCTTTTACATTTAATCTTTGATTTATAGGGAGTAAATTTTTGTGTATGGTGTGAGGTCAGGGTCCAACTTTATTCTTTTGCATGTGGAAATCCAGTTATTCCAGCACCATCTGTTGTTGAGCAGATTATTTTTTCCCCATTGAATGGTCCTGGTCCCATTGTCAAAAATCAATTGGCCATGGATGTATGGATTTATTTCTTGACTCAATTCCATTCCTTTGGTCTATATGACTATCCTCTTGCCAATTCCACACTATTTTGATGGCTGTAGCTCTGTAGTATGTTTTGAAGTCAGGAAGTGCCAATCAAATCCTCCATTCTGTTTTTCTTTTACAAGATTGTTTTAACAATTTGGGTCCCTTGTAATTCCATATGAATTTCGGATCAACTTCTCCATGCCTGTGAAAAAGGCTTTTGGGATTTTCATGGGCATTACATTCAGTCTGTAGATTATTTAGGGGAGTATTGCCATATTAACAATAATAAGCCTTCTAATCTATGAACATGGGATGACTTTCTGTTTATTTAGGTCCTCCCTGGTTCCCTCTAGCAACGTTTTGTAGTTTTCAGCGTATAAGTCTTGTACCTCCTTCGGTAATGCATTTCTAAGTATTTTTTTTTCCTTTTTGATGTTATTGTAAATGGAATTGTTCTCTTATTTTCCTTTCTGAACTATTCATTGCTACTATATAAAATACAAATAATTTTTGTTTTGATCCTGTATCCTGCAACTTTACTTAATTTTTTGGTAGCTTTGAGAAGTTTTTTGTAGGTTCCCTAGGATTTTTCTATATGTAGGATCATGTCACCTCTGAATGGTAACATTTTAATTCTTCCTGTCCAATTTGTATACCGTTGATATCTTCTTCTTGCCTAATTGCTCTATGTTGAGTAGCAGTGGTGAGAGTGGGCACCCTTGTCTTTTTCCTGATCTTAAGGAGAAACATTTCAGTCTTTCACCATCAAGTAAGAGGTTTGCTGTGGGTTATCCATAACGGCCTTTTATCTGGTTGAGGAAATTCATTTCTATTCCTCATCTGTTGAATTTTGTATCATGAGAGGATGTTGGATTATATCAAATGCTTTTTCTGCTCCAATTAAGATGCCCACATTGTTTTATTCCTTCATTCTCTTAACGTGATGTGTTATTATTGGTTGATTTTCCTACACTGAAGCATCCTTGCATTCTTGGAATAAATCCCCATTGGTCATGGTCAATAATCCCTTTAACATGCTGGAGGATTTGGTTTGCAAGCATTTTGTTGAGGATTTCTGCATCAATATTTACAAGGGACATTGTTCTGTAGTTCTCTTTCCCTTTAGTGTCTTTGTCTGACTTTGATATCAGGGCAACACTGGCCTCAGAGAATGAGTTAGCAAATGTTTCCTGCTCTTCTGCATTTTGTAAGAGCTTGAGGAGCATCGAAGTTGATTCTTCTTTAATTGTTTGGTAGGATCCACCAGTGAAGCTTTGCTTTCTTGGGAGGTTTTAAATTACTGGTTCAATCTCATTACTTGTTATAGGTCTGTTCAGATGTTCTATTTCTTCTTAAGTCAGTTCTGGTATTTGTGTGTGTCTAGGAATGTATCCATTTCATCTGGGTCAATGTTTCATTTGGAAGGATAGTCTTGCCAAATGTAGAATTCTTAGTTGACAGTGTTTTCCTTCAGTACCTGATATATATCACCACTGCCTTCTGACTCTGGTTTCTGATGAGAAATTGTGTGTTAGTCTCATGCAGAACCCTTTGTACCTGACACGATGCCTCTTGCTGTTTTAAAGATTCTCTTTGTCTCTGTCTTTTGATGGTTAATTAAAATATGTCTCAGTGTGGATCTCTCTATATTTATACAACTTGAAGTTTATTGAGCTGCCTGGAAATATTAATTCAAGTCCTTTATCAAATTTGAAACTTTTGGGCCATTATTTCTTCAAATATTCTTTCTGCCTATTTCTCTCTATCCTCTCCTGCAATGTGGTGTTTGTTGCTACATTTGATGGTGTCCCACAGGTCTGTTCATTTTTCTTCATTCTTTTTTCTTTCTGCTCCTCAGGCTGCATAATTGCAGTTTCACTACCTTCAGGGTCACTGATTCTTTCTTCCGCTGCTCAGCTGTGCTGTTGAAAACCTCTAACAAATATTCTGTTTCACAGTTACCATACTTGTCAGCACCACAATTTCTATTTGGTTGCTTTTTGTCATTTCTATTTCTTCACTGATATTCTGTCTTTGTTGAGACTTTGTTCTCTTGGTTTCTTTTATCCCTTTGAGCATATTTAGGACAGTTGATTCAGAGTCTTTGCCTGGTACATCCAATATTTGTGCTTCCTTGGGATACTTTCTGGTAATGTCCATTTTCTGTGAATGGCTTGTACTTCCTTGTGTCTTTGCATGCCTTGTAATTTTTTGTTGGAATCTGTGCCTTTTGATCATTATGAGATGGTCACTCAGGAAATCAAATTCTTTCCCCTCCTAAGTCTGGTGTGCTTGCTGTGGTTGTAGTTGCTTGTTAGTTTAATGGCTTGTCTTTAGCTTGTGGTCAGCTAGTGGTTTGGCAAAAATTTCCTTAATGTCTTGGAGGGGAAAAAAAAGAAAAGAAAACCAAGCAAAGAAAGAAGACTTCTCTGGTCTTTGCAGATTTTATGTGTTGTGCAGGCTGTCAACATTAGCTTGTCTGCTCACAGCCCTGCCTTAGCCTTTGCTTCCTGCCTGCACTGAGCCTGAAGATCAGCTGTGGATAGAAGTCCACAATCTCTCCTGAGCATGCTCTCTGCCCTTGGTGTGCACATGGCTTTAACTCTCCTGGTACACACAGCAGCTTTTCAAACCCTTCATTCCCCAAAGCAACTGTCCCCAAACTTTTTCCCCCAGATGGTTACTATGTCTATTGTTGGCCCCAACTATAATTTTTTGCCCCACACGGCAGCACTTGTTCATTTGATTTTCAGTGTTTTCCAGGATTATCCTCTGCTTAGCCACTGTTCTACCCTGAGAGAGCTCTGAGGTAGGCATGTTTTTCAGGTCAAAACACACAAATTCTTGAGGAGCAGCCTCCACTCTGCTCCTTATGGAACCATCCACCCACATGGGAACAATTCACATTACCACATCAAGACTTCACTGTGCCAGGCAGGGTGGTGCTGTGACCAAATAAAAACGCCTCAAAGCTCTTCTAACTTGTCAGAGACACCTTTTCCTTGATTCAGCATTTGCTTGGTTGCTGAAAACCTTGACTCCCTTCCAGGGCTCTGATAGCTTTGGCTCTGACAGTTTCTGCCCCATTCTTTCCATGTTTCTGTGGAGGGATGGGCCCTTGGAGCTCCTCACTCTGCCAGTTTGCTGGTGCCACTCCATACCACCTT